GTGTGCTTTATTGAAATAATAATCACCCTTATCAATATATGTCTTCTTCCCTAGTGTCCCCTTTCCACTTAGTCTCCCCTCGTGTCACGATTCAGGAACACCAATCGGGTTAATATCGGGAATGAAGTCAACACAGAACTCAATGACCTCCTACGTTAAAGTAGCCCTTGGCGATGCTTCCTTCTGGCCGAGCATGGTTATGAACATATTTCTTTAGGATTCCCATAAACCTCTCAAAGGGAACATGTTGTGTAGGAACACGGGACCGAGAATAGTAATCTCCTTGACCAGATGAACTAGGAGGTGTGTCATGATATCAAAGAAGGAAGGAGGAACACCAACTCAAAGCCGACAAGACATTGAACCACATCATTCTGTAGTTTCGCTAGATCCGTTGGATCGATTGCCTTCTGAGAAATTGCATTGAGGAATGCACATAGCTTCACGGTGGCTAGACGTACATTTGGCGGTAGAATTCCTCTTAATGCAACTGGAAGCAATTGAGTCATGAGCACGTGGCAGTCATGGGACCACATAACCTTGGCAGGGATTTTATTCTTGGGACGTTCGCCCTCAACATCACCAGGGTCATCTCGCCTGATCTTATACATGACGACGTGACATATAGGGTATGCATCCAACTTCTCGTGCCGTGCCACGGTAGAGGATGCGATCATTAGGACATGCATGTATCTTACGGATTTCTAATCCTAAAGGCGGAACTACTGTTTTGCTTTATATGTAGTCTTTGGGCAATTCTTTATCCTTGGAAGCATCTTCTTTTGGATTTTTAGTAACTCCATGAATCCCTTGTCGGATACACCATTCTTTGCCTTCCATTGCGGCAATTCCAATGTGGTACCTAACTTTTTCTACCCCCATCATCAAGTTGGGTATAGCAATTTCTTGTGATCCTCTAGCATGCGGTCGAACTTAATCTTCTCCTTTTCACTTTTCGCATTCTCTTTGTAAATCACGAATGGCTTTGACCAAGATCGTCAATGGGCTCCTCCTCTGCCCCTACTTCTTCTTGATGGGCTTCTCCTCTTCCCCACCTCTTCTTTAGCGGGCTTCTCCTTTTCCCCACCTTTTCTTCACTTTCCCCATTGCGGTATCATTGAAGACACCATATTCAAAGCAAAAATGTCATCATTTTCCCATTGTTCTTCTTCACCTTCTTCCATTACAACTCCGGTTCCTCCGTGCTTCCCGTCAACAAATATAGTTTGGCATGAAACCACGACTTGAACAAGTGTGAATGAAGAGTCTTTAAGTTAGCATATTCCATCGTATTCTTACATACGGCACATGGGCATCATGAAACCATCGTGTTTGTTTGCCTCGACCATGACGTAACAAAGAATGCACACACGTCCATAAACTCTTGGGAGCGACGATCAGCATTGTACATCCAATGCCGACTCATCTACATTACATGACATAAATACCGTATTAAAACTTAGAACATAATTAGTTAATTATACAACATGCATACCACCACAAAAGCTATAAATTTAATAAAGTCTCGCTACAATATAGACAATCCCAACTACCACTAAAACATTAAAGCTAAAATGCACTTGATGAAGACAAGGATTTCACGACCAAACCCAACTAAAACAAAGCAGATCCCCGTTTGTTCAACATCTTTAGGCTTCTTTGGTACGGATCAACGCTTTATTAGCATATATCGCTTGTTGTGCAAGATATTTTGCACGAGTTCAACATACTCTTCCTCCCAGTAGAAGCCTGAACATCCAGTGCCATCCCACTGAAATTAAAACAGAAAATTAGAACTTTAATCACAACCATCATGAAAATAGGTATAAACTAACCATAGTCATTAAATACGATAAAATAACTCACATAGCGATCTGGACACTTGTAGAAAAAGCGACCCTTGTTGAGACCCTCCTTCACTCGGTACTCCATCACAATCTTCGTCTCATCACAACACTTGTCGCATGCAATGAGTGGGAGGCCCGACCTAAGTCGCTTTGGAAACCCATGAGAGGCCGAGGATCCGGAAGCAGTTGTCATCTACTCTCTATACTTATTTTTTAATACACTATAAATTTCTCATTTTATAAACAAATAAAATTAAAAAACTCTAAAATTCTCTATATCTCTAAACAATGAAGTGTGCTATGCATGCTACAAATGAACGGTGAATACTAGTTTTTAATAGCTACTTTAACCTTCCTTCGTGTAAATATGCAAGCTTGAAGTGATTTTGAGCTCAAATTGCTAACAAATGAAAAAAAAACCACAATAAAGAACCATATATATATAGTGAACAAAATGAGATAAGACAATGGTGAAATATGAGAGTATGAAGTTGGTAACCTTTAGAACCGAGGAATCGACAGAGGAATCGAAGAAATCGACGGAGGATTCGAACAAAGGATGGAGAAAGAGCAAGATCACTTTGCTAAATTTGAACTGAAGCTCTCGGGCTGGCTCGGGAAGGAAGAAGACGGCCAGCCCGAGGATTTATAGGGGGGCCTTTAGTCCGGTTGGTGGATCAACAGGGACTAAAATCACTTTCGATCCCGCCCACGCCACTAGCGGGACAAGAGCTTTACTCCCCGATTGGAGCCACCAACCGGGAGTAAAGGTCGACCTTTAGTCCGATTGGTGGCTCAAGCTGGGACTAAAGGTCCCCGCCACAATAACTGGGCGTAGGAGCGTTGGGCAAGGACCTTTAGTTACGGTGAGCCACCAACCGGGATTAAAGGTCTCTCTATTCCGGGCGCAATATTTTCCGAACTAGAGCACGATTTAACCCTTAGATCAAAGCTCGTGCATTCTCTGCCGGTGGCCCGTCCCTAATGGATCAAATACCGTCGGTTATCGGGTGTCGGGCTGTTGGCATCTTTACCCATGAGATCACCGATGGCGAATTGCACGCTCACGTTGGCACATTCATCATTTTTGAATTCATCATTATATTCATGCATGCACGCCTAGCTAGCTTCAATTCACACATACATAAATAATTCATGTTAGTACAATATTACGCTTTGGCTGCATTACACCTTCCAACCTACTAATAATAATAATAGCGCATTTAGGTGTGCTCCAAGAATTATGATATATATAATCGAGTGGCGGATCTAGAAAAATATTTAGGAGAAATTTGGGCCAAAAGAGCTAGACCAACTTCACTCAATTATATTCCATACAAAGCTAAGATATAGCAGTTTTAAACCTTTTACATGATAACTATGATAAACAATCGAAAGTGCATTATAAAATGCATAAGAAGAAGTAAAAGATACAATTTTTAGAACTAACCAACAAAAATCGATAGATGATGACACATTCACGCTGTTGTATTCTTCATGAATCATTAGAAGCAATCTATACAAGAAAAAAAATAAATTAGTGACACAAATTTCAAGTATTTAACTTCAAAGTTTTGAAGGTAGAAGAGAACATATATCATACCACTAAATTGTTCCGAGGCACTAACATCGTCGGGTTTTCATGTCTTCAAATCGTTTTATGATTTTGTCATTCTTGATGCTTCTAAATATCTTCTTCTCGATTAACAACATATCATTAAGTCATTGAGCCATTCATCACCCATTTTGTTACATAAATCTGTCTTTAGAATAGACATAGCGAAAAATATCCTCTCAACTAAAGTCATACACCATAGGAAGAATTAATGTTAATTCAATGAGCGATACACCAATCCATAAGATGTGTTCATTTTAGTCTTGACCATAATTTCAAAGAACCTTTCCAAGCTCTGTACATCCAAGAAAGTCTTGAGTTCTTCTAGCACGATTGACAAATCCTCATGATTGACCGAGCAAAAGAAGAAGGTCACCGACGTCAAAATCCACAGCATAAATTTCAGCAAGTCTCACAAGCTTATCCACATCAAAATTAGAGAAGGAGTTCCTTGGGTTAAGACAAGCCATGCATACTAATAACTCTGAACTAACTTCACCAAATCGATGATTCATTTCAGACAAAATGGCATCTATGGCAGCAAGGAAAATCTCAACATGGTAGAAGTGCATGTTTGTTACTTTTTGCTTTCTACGTGTAGATGTCCCTCTAGCATTTATTTCCTTGTCCATATCTGGCACTTCAATCTCATTCTTATCACAGAATGTTTTCACTCTTTTGAATAAGGGATCCCATCCATTGTCCCTCATATCCTACAACTGCTCTTTGACATCTATGATCAATTGCATTGCCTCAACAATGTCTTGATCCTTCCTTTGCAAAGCATGTGACAGACTGTCTGTGATGCTCAACAATTCTATCATTAAATGCATTATGAACACAAAATCAAACCTCTCCATTTTACCAATTAAACCAAATGCTCCACCATCATTTCTGGTTTAACGAGTCTTTCTTTACTATCTCAAGAATGTCTATGATGACTTCCCACATCACCAAAATCTGAGTAAAGTTTTAAGATGTGAACCCCATCTAGTATCTCCAGGCCTTGCTAGGCTACATTCCCAGTTCAAACCTTTTCCATGATAATCTCCCACTCTCCAACTTTTCTAACAACACATCATGATGCTTTGCAAGCAAGGCATCCTTTCTCATACATGATCTTGTGGCAGTGTTGACTATTAGAGGAACATAGTTAAAGAAATGCGCAATGGTGGGAGTAGAAGTTGCCAAGAATAACAACCACTAATTGCAATTGATGGGCAAAACAATGCACATAGAATGCATAAGGATTTTCATCTCGAATCAAATTTTTGCACACCATTAAATTCACCTCTCATATTGGAAGCTCCATCATAACCTTGCCCACAAAGGCTAGAGATTGGTAGCTTATGGTGATTAAGCATTTTGACTAGAGCTTCTTTCAATGAAGCAATTTGTACAACTCTCAACATCTGTGAAGTCCAAGGAGCCTCTCCATCACCTTCCCTTCATCATTCACAAACACCGCAAACCATATTTTATTTCATGTTAGTACAAGTGTACAAGTGTACAAGTGTCCTTACAGATATGATGAGATATCATTGTGCAATTTTTGCACCTTTATCATATGCATCCTTAACAATCTCAACTTTATCTTTGTACCAATCAACCATCTCTCTATATGTACCCTTATTGTTGGAAGTAGAGGACTCATCGTGTCCACGAAAAGCATCACCTTGCATTATGAGAAATCTTGCTACATCTAAAGAAGAGTTCAAGCGAATCTCATATCTTTTCTCTTCCTCCTTGCTAATTACATCAATTCTTCTAGCCACATTTGTTCTTTGGTTCATAAAGTCATCACACTTTAGCCTAGCATTATTGTGAGTCTTGCAAGTACCGTCTTTGATTAAAATTGTCCTTAGCTTTTTCCCGCTTAGTATAACCATCCTTTGCAAAAGACGAACTACCAAAATTTTTCGAGCTTCCCGGATCAAAGAAAAGATAACAATATAAGCAATAAGTCGCATCCTTCGACTCACTATACTCTAGCCAATCAAACTCATCAAACCAAGTTTGCTGAAATGATCTCCATTGACCATTTTACCATTTACGAGCAAAGGTAAGATTACGAGGTTGGGTCGGACATCTCAAAGCATATGCCCTTCTAACTTGGTCTCTAATTTCTGGTGGATATTCTTCAATTGGTATGCGATTTCCTGGATCACCAACTACATCGGATTGACTAAATTCCACTCTACGCCGAATTGGTTGATTTATGCTGTTATTACTGCCTGGAGTTGATGTACTACTTGTACCAGAAAAATATGTGTGCAATGTTCTTTTGGACATTTTGAATAATCTACAATTTATTAAATCATAATCAAATTTTGAACGATTACAAAGTTCAAAAGGCAAATCTAAAGAAAAAGATTATACCTGCTGGCTGCTGCCCTGTTGGTGCTGCGGTGCTGCCGCCCAGTGCCTGCTGCCGCGTCGCCCAGTGCCTGCTGCCGCCCAGTGCCCCAAATTTCAGCGAAGGCAAAATGGAGGAATAAAAGCAGTCCTAGCTAGAATAAAAAGGAATGCTAAAAAGCGAAATTAAATTGCACGCATGACGCATCACCGAAAGCAAAAGGGCTACCTGACACCTGACAGGGTAAGCTCAATTCGTTGCAGCCTTTGCAGAATTGCAGGAAGCCAGGAACCCCAAATTTCAGAGAATCCAGCAGGCAATTGCACACGGAGTCACCGCCGCGCGCCGCGCCCCTGCTGGCTGCTGGCTGCTGGCCAGCCCTGCGCGCTGCGCCCCTACGCGCTGCGCCCCTGCTGGCTGCGCGCTGCGCCCCTGCTGGCTGCTGGCCTGCGCCTGCGATGCGCGGCCGCTGCTGCCTGCTGCCTCCGCCCGCTGGGATCCCGGCGCTGCGGCGCCTCCGTCGGCCGTTGGGCAGGAGCCAGCCAACCCTAGCTGGAGCCGCCGCCGCTCGCCCACTCGCCCACTCGCCGGCCCAGTCAGCTCGAGTCGAGTGCCTCTGCTCCCGTGACCGACAGAATGAGAAGAGAAATGAAGAAAAAATATCTGTTTCTTGATGGGCCGTGTACAGGCTTCGTTAGTGGGCCACACATTCCGGCCTAGGAAGCAGACCAACTCGTCTTCAACCTCCGTCCGCGACGGGAACCTCTCCAGCCCCTTCTTCCTAGTGGCTAATGGCTGAAAATTTTATGGAGGGGCTCAGGGGGGCCTCCAATGGCGCGGCCAGGTAGGGGGGGCTTGAGCCCCGGCAGCCCCCCGGCAGATCCGCCACTATAATATAATCAAACTTTATCATCGGATGCGATCCGATAGTGTCTACCATGCATAAGCACCTTGATTGATGATAATAAAAGTACAAGGAGCTAGCGTGGCGTTCACTCCACACCCTGTTTTATGCTGCCCCTGCCCCTGTCCTCTGCACCTAGCTTGTACATTGTGCGACTTATCTTAATTAGTATTTTTAATAAATAAATAAAAATAGCAGCTGCGACTGCTCTGTGTTGTCTGCTGCATTTACTCAAGCAGCCGCGCCGTCGTGTTGGCCGTGCCAAACAGTACTAATAAACGCGGGCCTCTAGTACAGTAGGGCTCCGCCGAGTACTTCCACCGTAAAAAAAAAATTATACGACAAGTGCATATACCAAGGCAGATGGCGAAATTACCAAAATACCCTTGTATAACTAATTGACCTTTGCAGAATATTCCGGAAGGCAGGAATGTGTGGTGGAGATAGCACCAAGCTCGTAGGGTTGCATATTTTTTTGGGACAAAATTTAAATCGTAGGATTACGTTTTTTTTAACGGAGGAGTCCTCTTCTAGCCTTCTATAGGAACACGACACGAGATCAAATATCTCCTCAAGCCTCCAATCCAATGCCAAACAGATCCCGTGCGTCTCAAACCCTACTCGACTAGCCGAGCGTCAACCATGCTCCTAGATTCACGGCCGGCCTACATGAAATAGGAGCGGTGGGAAATGTGCATATGTGCTTTTTTATTAAAAAAGATGTGCTCATGTGGCGTGTCTGCCATATATATAGCTCCTTCCGATAGTAATTAATCTATTGTGACATATAAATATAAATTTATATTTGCGCATCTAGTTTGGATGGTGTGTTTAGAAGACACGGGGGGTTTATCTTTGGTTGGGCATAACGTCCCTACGTCCGGTTCTTCTTTGTTAGTGTTCTGGCACTTAAAGTTTATAGTAGGGGTTACAAACAGACGATAGAGGAAAAGGATTCTAAGTCTCTGGTGGAAGGAGTAAACGGATGCCGAGAGCTTGATTGTTTGCTTTCACCGTAATGCTCAGATGTCGTGCTTTTGTGTGGATCTGGATCGATCGGTTTTCGATGGGTCGATCCCGTCATGGGGTGCCACGCTTTCCTTTATAAGCCAAGAGAAAGCGTGGGACAGCGGAGGAAAAGAAGAATGAGAGAGAGAAAGGTTGCAAGGACCGTCGGGTCCTTCTCCTTCATGCGGGTCCCGTCGATCCTGTAGACGTCAATAGGGACGGCTCCACGTCACGGCCCTGTTCGTCACTGACGCCATGCACATGCGTCGTCTGCCGGTCATGGCATCCCATTCTGTCCCGGCAGGCGTCGTGGTGAACTAACGTGTCTGTCAGCGTTCGTACGAGGGTTAGGCAGACCAGCACTAGCACGCCCAACGTTGTTCTTGATGTGAATCCTCAGGTATAGCCTGTCATGGCCACGGGTTACATCAGGGCATGTCGGTCTCTTCCTTGGTGTCAGAATTTTAACCCAGGCCTATACGCTTGGACCTGAAGTAGTTTGCGGTAGTATGGGTCCCTGTAGGGCGAGACGGAGCTCGCACCCAAGGGGTCAAGCGAGGCAGAGCATGTGGCCTTGGCGTCGGGCGAGGCGGAGCCCGCGGCCTAGGGGTCGGGCAAGGCGGAGCACAAACCCAAGGGTCGGGCGGGGCAGAGCCCGTGGCCTCGAGGTCGGGCGAGGCGGAGGACAAACCCAAGGGTCGGGCGAGGCGGAGCCCGCGGTCTTGGGGTCTGGCGAGGCGGAGCTCGTGGCCTCGGGGTCGAGCGAGGCGGAGCCCACGGCCTCAGGGTCGGGCGAGGCAGAGCCCGCCCCCAGAGGTCGGGTGAGGCGGAGCCCATGCACATGGGGGTTGGTTGGAGATGTAGTCATGCTCTTGACTGCTCGGATGAATCAATGTTGACGGCCATTAGCTCCTCCTCTTCGGGTACCCTAGTATTGGTCCCTGATAGTAGCCCCCGAGCCTGCGAAAAAGTAGAATACTCATTCGGAGGCTTTTCCGAATGGGAGGACTCTGAGGGCCTTGGCCTTCTTTTGTCACCCATGGCGTGTCCTAGGGATGGCGACTCCATTTCATCGTGATCAGACCCCTCAGGGTATAACCGTGAGATTTGGTGGGTCAAAAAAGGTCTTTCCTGATTCCGACCCCTACGGGGGTCTGTCGTTCTGTGACCGCACGTTCGGTCTCCTTGTGAGTCCAGCTTTCCTCGAGCCCCTGCCCATAGTAGGGGTTCAGTCGAGGGTCAGCTAGTCTTTGTGATCGTCTTCCCTCAAGCATTATTTTCTGATAAAAACGGAGGGGCAGAGCCGTGCCATGATTTTTCTCTATGGACGAATCATGGTGCTTGGTGAGATGTTAACGGGCTAGTCTGAGTGGGGCCCTGGCATCCCGTTTGCGGGGCTCTGGTTTGGGTCAGCTGGTGACCGACTCTAGATTCTCAACGGTTAATCCATATATTTCTTGGATCCGTTCATTCGGTCTTGAGGGCTCTCTGCCTTTCTTAGAGGAAAAACTATGGATCGTATCCGGCCGAGACTCAAATGTGGTCCAGGATGCCCGCTGCGCTCATGCGCCTGGGGTACTGGCCGCTAGCGGGCCCATCCTTTTCCACCCCTCACTCTAAAGGTTCCCGGAGCGGTTGTCAAACCCGTCGGTGGGCCAACCTTCGAACTCCTAGGCTCATCCTAGATGGGCCGTAGGAGCGTCTTCAGCCTCGTATCCCTCTTACCTGTGATGGGTCGTGGCCCGTTCAGGGAGGCGAAATGTCCGGTGCATTTTCTACGAGGACAGCCATAGGTTGCGTGCACACACCCCGCGATGAGACGTGGTGACAGATCGTGGCAAGCACAGAGATCTAGGTGGATGGTTGGTTTCCTTGCACCCGTCGCTCCTATAAAACCAAAGGGTTACCCTCCGTGTTTCATACGCATGCCTTCATCCTTACCTCCGCAGCCACGCCACCGCCGCCGATGCTTAGGTTTCCTGCCTCCACATCTCCGCCGCCGTTGAGCTCGCATCCATCCACCCCTACCTCCAATGGATCCATGGTGCCATTCTGACATCACCTTCCAGCGCATGGAGGGCCTGGTCCGTCGCAGTCTTCTCCACGCGCGGACCTCGGTCGAGGAGTGGTTGCTGCCCGACATCAAGGATTCGCCGTCACTGCCCGATGACTACGTGGTGTCGTTTGCCCACTTCCAAGAGCATGGGCTCGCGACCCTCGCCCACAAATTCCTCCGGGGGCTGCTGCACTTCTACAAGATTGAGCTGTAGTATCTCAATCCCATTGGGATCCAGCACATGGCGGTGTTCGTCGCGCTGTGCGAAGGGTTCCTAGGGATTAGCCCCCACTTTGACTTGTAGAGGTATTTCTTCGTCGTCAACCTCTAGAAGAAGAGGGAGAAGGGCGGCAGGCAGGAGCTACACATGTCGATGGGGTGTGCCGGCATCCAACTTCAGAACAATCAGGTCAGTGAGTACCCGTCCATACAGCTCTCGATGTCCAACAAGGGGTGGCACTCATAGTGGTTCTACCTCAAGAATGATGCCGCCGTCCCTCTGTCGGAGTTCACCGGATGCCTGATCAAAGAGGCCCTAGAGCAGTGGATGAAGTGGGGCGTCCTGGAGAAGGACAAGAAGAAGATCTGAGACCACATCGCCGCCATTCACATCCTGAAGGAGAACGGCCTAAAAGGGTCGAACGTC